GACAGTAACTCTCGGAATTCATCAGCATAGCATGAGACGAGCTGTTTACCTCATCAAAGCCATAGCAAAAGTATCATCGTACGGCATGTTACTAAGTTGCTGGCACCGAACAGCGGGTAAGCTTCTCCTTTCTCAGCAAACCACCGCGTCCTGACTGTCCCACTGACAGACAGGATTTCAATCATCTCTCAGAAACAAAGAATCAACGCTTCCAATAGCGCTATATCATGCAGGTTACATGCATAACGCAGTATGCTTCCAAAAAAACACGAGGCAAGGGGTAAGGAAGGCGGGAGGGGAGCGTATCGTTATGAAGTAAAGGTAAGGATAGAGTGGGGACGTTATGATGGGATGGAAGGAATTCGAAACAAAAGGGAGATGAGGGGGAAGGGACTCAGACATATCGACATGACGCTCATATCTGTTGATGGGGGGGGGGGTAACTAAAGAGAGTTAGGGGACAAGGGGTGATATTGATATAGGATAAGAGGTGATAGAATGATGAAAAGCTAGAAGGTGCATTATGAATAATGGTGGATAAGGGATGCATCAGGATGTAAATCTGGGAAGAAAGAGGGAGGGAAAAATGAAGACATACAGAAAGATTGACAGAGAGAGGAGAGAAACATAAAATAGACGGGTTAGGAGGAAACTAGGGGAACCGCACCAAGGCGGAAATTCGGGGAGTATTGACAGTCAGCCCGCTCGGCCTGAACCTCCTCCCCCAGCAGCAGCAGCTGAAGCAGAAGCCTTACCTGACTGTCCACCAGAACCACCGCCGCCGCCAGCACTATCTTGCATTGAGTTTGGTGGAGAGGGAGGGTGATGGTGCTTTGGAATTGAAGGTGGAATGCGAGGAGCCGCGTCGGTGGGTATATCTTCATGTCCGTCATCTTCATACTCTTCATCATACTCTTCGAGATCGGGGGGAATGCTCTGGTCATTGGGGTGGGGAGGAGCTCGATCAGCGTGGCCATGAGCTTGACCCTGAGCCTGGACGTGTCCCTGACCATGGGATGCGGCTGCATTCTGATGTTTTGCAGCATTCTTACTTCCCTTCTTCCCCTTTCGGCCCTTCATCTTGGCCTTTTCAAGCAAACGGCGTTTCTCAGCTAGTCGTCTGCGTTCCTTGCGGTCTTTTATTTCGTATTGTCGGATAAGAGCCTCGGGAGGATGGCCAAAAATGCTTTCATACTCGCAAAATTCACATATCCAGATACTCTCGAGGTCAGGCGGGTGGTGAAGATTGGTAATCTGCTGTTGAATGCGCCGCTGGCGAGCAGCTTGTGTATATATTGCACGAGCTGATCTGCGAGGTTTCCGAGGCGGTGGAGCAGGGGTCTGTGCCTGCCCAGGTGGCTGTTGTTGTTGTTGCTGCTGTTGCTGCTGCTGATGGCGAGCCTGTTGTTGCTGCTGCTGGTTTGCCTGGGTGACCATGTGGGGACTGGTCTGAGTGCCCTGGGTGGAGAAGCCCCGTTGGCCAGGCAAGGGAGGTTGAGTGACGGATCGGTGATGTTCGGGAAGTGAGTAAGGATGTGCAGACTGCCATGCCATACCCCGGGAAGAGTCCGACTCGCAGGTAAACGTGAATTGCGTCTTTGCAGGAGCTGACCGTTTTGTCTGGTCAAGCAAACTGACATTCTTTTGGCCTTGAGGGTTGGACGACAGGGCGGCGGCGGCATTGGCTATTGCGGCAGAAATTATTCCCTGATCTTTGCCTGGCTCTGTTAAAAATTAAGTTAGAATACGTCCTTTCCCCAGTGAACATACTAATAGTAATCATAGTTAACGGGGGAGGGGGGTGGTGAAATGAATACCAAAGTTCTCCTGAGAAAGGGCATTATCATGACGTCTCCCGGTCGACCACGTATTGGGCGAATGGGCTGCAAGGGGCTGCCTGGCGGTAGCACCGCGACCAGGGCCATTCCGGCCATAGCGTCCTTTACCCGACATACCAGAAGCTCCGACGGGAGAGGCAGGATTTCCGGAACCGTAGTAGGAGCCCTGTCCGCTACCGTCATCCACCGAAATTGAAGCACCGCTCCCCCCGCTGCAGGAAAGACTTGCAACATCGGAAGAGAGACTAGAGTGACATCCTAGCCCACCAGACGTAGGTATTTTCCTTTTCTTTTTATTATTTGTATTTTCAAATGCATCGTATCCGTCCTGGGCACCATTCAAGGCCACTTTTGCACTCCCCACTGTGGGTGGTGCAGAAGCTCGTTGAAGCCCTACACTTCTCCTAACAGCCACTGGACCGTCATCTTCTCCAGACTCTGCACCGTCTTCGTAGTGATGGTGGTCATGATGGTGGTCATGGTCATGGTCATGATCATGATCGTGGTGGTGGTCGTGGTGATGATGGTGATGGTGATGGTGATGATGGTGGTGATTATCATCGTCATGATCTCCGTCATCATCGGCGTTGTGCTCGTACCCGTAGACGTTACGCTGAACGTAGACCTTTGCATCGTTGAGGGAATCACCCGTGGTCGAGTATGCACCATAGAAAAGCTGTGTGGTTGGCTGTGAAGGTGGGTAGAGAATGGTGTCTGCAGCATCTGAGGAAAGCCGAGAGCGCAGAGGCCGTTTTGGCAGCGGACGGATGAGCCGCTCCGGGAAGATAGGGGACGGCGTATCAGGGGCAGAGGTGTACGCCCCGCCTGTCGAGGATTCATCAATCGTCAGCGTAGTTCCAGAACAGCCATCTATGCATATATAAACATATATCAAGTCCAACCCCCAGTTTTGAGTGGTAGAGCTGTCGACGTACTCAGAGTGGCAGCCATAGTGCGTCCTGCAGGCTGCAGAGTGGGAGCAAACGTAGACGACTCGGCCCTACAGTCCTGTCTGCTTGTGTCTCTTTCGTCTCTCGTCTCTATCGACTTTGGTTCAGGTGAATGGCGGCGTGATATGTGGTGGTTGAGTGGATGCCCAATATTGACAACTATCCGGCCTTGTCACGGTCAGCATCAATGTCCACCACGAACAGCCAGCATAGAAAAAACTGGCAGAGAAGCAAAGCAAATTAAGAGCATGAGGCCGTCCGCCCAGACCTACCAAACCACGCTTGCTTTCTGAACTGAGGCGGACTGCTGCGAGCTGGGCGTTGCCGTTGCTGGCACAGTGGACGAGGCGACGGAGAATCGAAGCGAGATGCTCGGCAGGCGGAAGACACCACCGGGGGAAAAGGGGACAAAGGGCGGGAGGGAGGGAGCTGGAGGCTGTCAGGTCGTCTGGCCGTGAATCTCCGGAATATCGAGTATCGTCGCTCTTCAGGCTCGTCGGCGTCTCGTCAAGCGGGTGAAGTTGAGATTCTTCTTCTTCTTCTTCTTCGTTGCTCGCTTTTTGGATGTCTCGACGCTAGCCTCTTTGGGAAGCCAGTGGCAGACGCGGTTGATAGGCGAAGCTGGCGCCAGCCGAGGAGAGGAAGACAAGACCGAAGGGTTAAGAGGGATGGGGATATCAAGATGGGAGGGGGGGAGGGAGGTGATGGTAAGCAGACTGTGGCAGGGTCGAGATATTTAAGGTGGTGGTGGTGGTGGTGATGATGTTGCATGTCGGGAAGTCTGGTCTACGAGAAGCCTATAAAATTGAATATTATATCCCCAAGCCCAGCTCTACTCAAAAGTGGCCGGAATCTTGTCTCTTCTTCGGCTATCTGTATGTCTTCTTGTATTCTGCTAGTTCTATTATCTCCATCTCTCTCCCTATTACTCTCCCTATCACATATGTATGGTGCTATTCCCCCCGTCTTCAGATAGCCCTGATTCTGTAGGAGACTTCCAGCAGCAGATTGAAAAAGCCCTGAGGATGAAGCTGTAGTTACACTCGGGGAAACGGAGAAATAGAGGCATCATATGGGATTGTGTATGGTATTAGCCCTGGAAGCAGGTCATGCCGCCCCATGAATGTCCTTCACAAGCTTCAGCTAGAAGTTGAAGCTCTGCCTGTCGTTGATTCGGTCGACATCCGAGAACAAGCACTGTTATTCCACAACGGAAGCAGTGGAAGCGAGAGAGAGCAACATATCCCGGCTAGAGCAAGTATTCACTATACTCAGCCATCAGGACATTTGGGTATCAGTCTGTAGGAGCATCTTCACATTGAATCCCCTTGTTAAGGAATCTAGACGTGGCTATTATAGGCCATTGAGGCCAGCCAATCTCTAAGAGAGATTATCGTACCAGCAAGACATGATCAACAAGCCAGAAAGATGTTGTCGAGCTAGATCTGTGTCTTCCTTACGAGCTGTAGATTTTAGCCAGAGAAGGGCTCGCTCCAGAGCTTCAGCGAGCGTAGACGAGACGCAGCCACCAGCACCAACGCATCAAGCAGCATCATAGCTAGCCAGAGCTGCAAGAATGGACTAGCAGCCATCTTCTCGGTCTCATCCTTGGAGTAGAACTGCCTTTTTTTCCCTGGCGTCTCTATGTTTGGTCTCTATCTTGTAGTCCTCCCTCCCTGCCGGGATGATGACAGCTCCTCGCACCGCCGTAACTATGGAATCAAGCACACCGTTAGCTCTCTCATCCTCTTATTATCATCGAAAAGGGTTCTTCAACTCATCGGTGCTCGCTGCAGAGTCTTATCGAAGCCTTCAAGGCGGCTGAAGATCGCAAAGAGAAGCCTCCCACTCCAGTCAACCACAGTGCAGATTCCGTCAATCTCTTCTTTTCTTTTTGCATAATCTCTGCATCTGCTTCTTCCTCCTCATCATCATCATCGTCTTCTTCTTCTTCTTGTCTTCTTCATTGTCCTGCCCTGTCGTCGCCGTCGTCTCGCTGTCTGTTCGTGGCCCTGGGCGGGGACTGAGCTACTAGCGAGGCTTGCTCTTCTCCAAAAACTCCATAAACTCCAATCCTCGCCTTTCGCCTTCAACTCCCAACGTCAACTTCGACCTCGTCCGCTTCCCGCCCACCAGCACTTCTCTAGCATGTAGCAGTCCTCGATCTCGCATCTTCCGGTACGCGAGTCCTGCTTCCCTGCCTCCTGCTCGCTCTCAGCTTGCCGCAATTCTCGAAACCCTCGCCCTTGGACGCCGCGGGTTCGTGAGCCAGAAGGACCGAGATTTTTGCCCACTCGCCCCCAGGAGCTTCGCATCCATCCTCACACGCGCTGCTGGTCTTCTCCGGCCTCATAATATCTTTCACGATACCGCTCTACGCCTGTACGCACCCATTAATACCTGAGTCTTGCATGCGCCCACCGCCATGAACCCTCGTCGCTCCTCTCGAGCCCGCGCAGCGCACCCAGCATCCGCTGCAATGCAGCATTCGGCCTCCTCCAGCTCGCTCAACTCCCTCAGCCGGCCGGAGCGAACCACGCGGTCGAATAACAACGGTAACAAGCCTACTCCGCCGCGCCGGTCGGCTGCTCAGCGGTCCCAGTCGCTGGACGATGGCGCGGACACGGCCAGCTCGAAGAACGACGCCGCCACCTCTGGATCGGGCTCTGGCTCTGGCACAAGCACCCGCCAGCAGCGACAGTCCAGGGGCCGCGAGGAAGTCGAGGCCGATGCCGACGCAGACGTGACGCTGACGGGAGACGAGTTCGACGAAGAGGGCGAAGAGGAGATCACACGCTGTATCTGCGGCCACCAAGACTACCCGGGTCTGCCTGCACACCGCGGCGGCGCCGCTGCTGCTTCCTCGTCAAAGGCCGGCAAGGACGACGACGGCCAGGGTGCTGGTTCCGGGGCCGACGCTCAGTCTGATGATGCCGGCAGCTTGTTCATCCAGTGCGATGAGTGCAAGGTCTGGCAGCACGGCGGCTGCGTCGGCATCATGGAAGAGGCCTCGAGTCCTGACGAGTATTTCTGCGAGAGATGCCGCAAGGACTTGCACAGTATCATTGTCGGACCCCATGGGTGAGTTGTCTCTGTTATACTGCTCCCTATCTTGTCTGTTTCCTTCTGTCTTCTACTCCGAAGATTTTTTCTTTTCCTTATTTCTAGTGGTGGCTAGTATCTCTCTGTCTATTCACCGCTGCTGTGTTCTTTGCGATTCACAACATCCTCCATTGATTTCTCCGGCACTACCTACCTACACTTTCAATTGTTCTCGCAACACACGTTATACACTATATAGGATGGCTTCACTTCCCCCCTTGAGCCCTTCTGCTGTCTCTTCATCCTTACCACATCACCCTTCCACCTGCCTTGCTCCTCAGTCACCAACTTCATTTGAATTCCGGCATTCCTCAAAATGTGGGCATCGCGCTTACGGTCTCGCAGCCAGAAGTCCTCCCAATACCTCCCGGTAGCCGGGTCTACCTCATCGGCATCCTCAACTACCTCAAGAGAGACCGCAAAAACTTCGAAGGACAAGAAGCTCAAAAGCAGCGATACGTCTCCTCGCACTAAACGTAGAACCATGAATAGCCGTGATGCTGCCTATGATGAGGAAGAGCTGTTACGCAGAGCCATCGAGGAGAGCAAGGAAGACACTGCCTCCCTGGCCGAAGAGACTACCGGCCGCAGAGGCAAGAGAAGCCGCAGTGTTAGCGAACTGTACGTCTTTCTTCCATACTACACCACAGTCCCCAGTCTACTAACACGTTGATAGAAACAAACAAGCTGCTAAGAGACAGAGGACCAGCTCGCCTTCCCCCTCTTCCGCTCAAAACCCTCCCGGCGCAACACCCGATCTCCCTCGGAAGAAGAAACTAAGTCAAAGACCACAAGTGTCAATGGCAACCAGAAGAAAACTAGAGCCACTCGGAACCAGCGCGAAAAGGAGCCTGAGCCTGAGCCTGAACCCGAAAAGGAGGCTGCGCCCGAACCCGTTAGCCGACGTAAAGGCAGATCTGATCGTCGCAAAGGCGAAGGTATGACAATTTCTCTATTCCCCGGACTTTGGATCACTTACTAATTAAATTCGTAGACTCTGAACCCCCCGAAACCACTTCTCCCACAAAACCCACTCCAAATGCACCTACACAGTCCGCTCCAGATACACCAACAGCTTCTACACCTGTTTCCAAACCTGCCACCCGCAAATCTGGCCGACCTCCGGCCCGCCGTGGCCGTCTAGGTCGTAACCAGTATACTCGTGACCGTGATCCTCCCAATGGCACTACGGACGCCATATCCAACTCTCCTCGTCGAAACCAGTCGCGCGAGGATGTCACAACAGGCGACTCTCCCACCAGCGCCTCCAACGCAGGGCCCAATGGCACGTATGCAAACGGCGAGACCGGAAAAGCAAGTCGACCACGCTACATGAACCCCAACCGCACTACAATGAACGACATGCGCCGGCGTGTAGCCGCCATCCTTGAATTCATTTCGCGGCTACAAGTGGAAATGGCTGCCAGCGGCGAGCAACCGACTCGACCGCCAGGCGATTCAAGCTCGACAATGGCAACTACAAGCCGTGATATGGCAGCTACCATTGCGAAAGCAGAGGCAATACTAAACGGCCTAACTAATGGCACATCGTCGAGCGAATGCCAAAGCTCGTCAGATGCACAGGCAGCTCCAACTTCAGCACCAGCTCCTGACGCAGACGCTGCCGGCAAGGACAAGGACTTCAAGGACCTCACCAGCGGCGAGATGATGGACGTCCTGACTAGAGGCTTGTTCAAGTGGCAGGAACTCTTCGGCAAATATGGTGATAAGTAAAGCCGTTGCCTTTGCCGTCACTGTCACTACCACGGCCAGTATTTCATTCTCTTGTCCTGCTCTGTTTCCTTGCTTGCTCTGCTCTGCTAGCATGCCATGCCTTACGATACCATTGTATATTAGGAGTTCTCATTTCACCACCGGCTTCTTCTTCCCTTCTCAACGCACATGTTTACCTCACCCCCTTTTTACATACATACATACCTGCATACCTACCCTTTTTCCCAATCATGCATACGCTTTGATAGCGACGTACCCTCCCGGCCATCACATACTCAAAACCCCCTCCACGGTTTAATAATACCTTCTCACCTCGCCCCCATCATCATCAATATCTATACCCAACAACCACCCGCATTTTGCCTTCCATGATGAACCGCATTCAATCAGTCTGTACTGTTCCACCATCAAACATAGGGAAATGGAGTTCTGTTACTGTTACAACGTTGGCGTTATTCCTTCTATCTTTGTACTTCACAACCGATGTCAAATATAGCTTATACTAGCGCTCGGTCCTAGTTTAATCATTGTTTTTGCTCTCTTTATCGACTTGCTCTAGTGATTTTGCTATGCTGTAGCAACACAAGTATCACTCTACACCTATATGCATTAACTCCGCTGCTAACTCCGCTCATGCCAATGTCGCTTATGTAAGGCTTCGCGGGCCAACCCGAGGCTTCGGCTAAACTCAATTAGCGGCGAACTCTCATTGGGCCGCCAGAGCCAAGACCGACCGGAATCCCTGTTAGCGCTAACCTTCCGTCCTTGTGCCTCTTCCATACTTATCATCTTCAAACTCCACGCCTCTAACAAACACCTCCGACAAAGCCTCTAATCCGGCAACAAAAATACACAATGCAGAAGCAATAACAAACATGCTAATGCTTTCGCCAATTTCCAACTAGCTCCCCTCATCTCTTACGGCCCAGAAGAAGCGCAGGGTCATGTAGTCACCGATACCCATGACAACCGTAAACAGGCTCCCACCTTGAAGCTTCAATCTCTTAGTCAGAAATCCAAGGTTAGTAGAAACCAGGACGACAGGGGCCAGAATCTTGACAATGAGAAGAGCCGCTTGGCTAATGGGCTCAAATATGGGAATTAACCTGTAGACAGCGTCCAAAGAGAAGGAAGAGACCGACGCGATGTTTCCTGTGCTAAAGAAGGCGGATTGCAGCAGGAAGAGGAAGAACAAACAGAATCTTACATCTGATAGGACGAGTCTTCTGTAGTTCCCCTGTGCGGCAGCCTTCTCTCTCTGCTTCGCTGCCAGCGGCATTGAAATTTCCCCTTCCAGGCCCGTTTTGGAGATCAAGGTGCCGGAGGTAATGCTAATGCCATTCTTAGAATGTCAATGTATCCTGTGTTCAAGTTGGACCCATTAAAGAGAGTAATAGAAATAGCGAAATAAAAGAGCCCTTCATAAGAGATTGTAAGAATTATGAAGAGTGGCTCAAGTGCGAGGAAATTGATCATTTGGCGGGGGAGGTGATGTTTCTGTGGGTGCAAGACATGGGCAAATGGTAGCACAAGAGATGTAACTGTTTACATCGTTGTTAGCGCAGAAACAGGCCCCAAACACACGATTGTGCAAGACTCGGAAGCATCTCTCAAATCTATACAGTAGATTAGGTCTAATAGCATCTGTAGGGAGAAAAAAGCAAAGCAGTGCTTACCCAGTGTAGCCTATCTAGCAACCTGTGTCCCCAACGGAAGTCCCTGTTTCGCCTTCAGAGAATACACACTCGACCTCGTGACAAAAACTGCAATAGCAACCAGTCCGACTTGCAGAGCAATCTTAATGTATCGTCAGATTGTTGTATTGCGGCTGTGTAATCTTGTTCCTGGATGAGTCCCTCAATGGATGCGAGACGATTCTCGATTCTAGTTTCAGCAAAGCCAGGGTAAGGCTTGTAATGTAGAACTTCAGCCATCTTCTCGCGCTCCTTAATACGATACATCTCCCAAATCTCTCTCGCATTAACGAGCAGAGCCTTTGCTTTCTGCTCATCAGTAGCGCCCAGAAATGATAACAGAAGCTCTCCAACAGAATTGACAGGAAATTCCAGGCCGGCAAGGTACGCCATAAGTGATGCGATGTCTGCCTGAGCAACATCATGGCGGTAGATATGATCCAGCTGCCAGTCACTCGAGAAGCCATCTTCATGACCCGGCGCCTTGCCACTCTTAGCCGTCCTCGGCTTCGCAACTCCAGACCCCCAAACAATTAGGGGCGTCCTAGTATTATCCGGATGTCCATCTCCATGGCTGCCCCAATCACTCATCCCATGGTCTGCAGTAAAGATGAAAGCCGTCTTATCATCAACGTACAACCGATTAATGATATCCGTGATCTCCTGTACGCCCTGGTCCACAATTTGGATATTCCTCAAGTACTCCTGTGAATATGGTCGATGTGCATATCCAGTAGTATCCAAGCCCAGTGAATGTAGGAAAAACACAATCCTGTCTTGTCTTAGCTTCGTATTCAAGTCTTTGTCTGTACTAGCATCTTCGAATAATTTCTTAACACGATCAAAGACTCAGTATTCTAGCTCCGTAGCATCCTTACTATAATCTTCAAACTCAGTCTTATACATCTGGTCTTCGATTTGGCCTGGTTCAGCACCGGTAGAGAACATAGGCAGGATATCTGGACTCCCCCAACTCCAGGTATGGTGGCTTCTATTGAAGACACTGTCGAAGTTGACGGGATTGAGTTATTGAGTTTCCATCCTGTCGTTACTGCCACCACATCTTCGTACAAGCCAGTGATGAGGGCGACATGACCTGGCCGGGACTCAGTGGGGACACGGGTGTGAGACGCCAAAAGTGCCGTGTTCAAGGACTCGAGAGTGGAAAGGGGCCATGGGGACAACGTCCTGCGCAGAAGGATCATTTGCCGGTCTTGAAGGGTCGGGAAAGAATTGGAACGCCTTGTCGGCTCGGAGTCCATCACCTGCGACGCTTAGGTCAGTATGCAATGGCTATGTGATGAGGAGTGATAACTGTACCGACATACAGAACCAATCGCCTGGCGGGTGGTTCAGGTATATCGACTCTGTATGCACGCATTCCATGTACAATTGGCGACACAAAGTAGATGTCGAAGATGGAATAGATATAAACCACATGGAACACGATCGCAGTTCCAAGGAACCCGACGCGTCCAACTCGTGCCATGGCGAGAGAAAAATAGCGTTTGCCTTGTGCAAGCCAACGAAAGTAGAGAATACGGAGTATGGTTACCTACCTACCCAGGAGCTGGTAGGTACTGATTGGAGAGAGAGCTCAGTGGGTGCGCATCGCTTTCCGAATATCCGAAAGTCAGCGCTTACTCCGTATTGTTTACCAAATTAGTAAGTCCTTAATTCTCGACTTGTAACGTCCCACGGCTCAGCCTGCCCGCCAGCCGCGCCAGCCGCGCCAAGCCGCGTGTATTTAGCTTAATATTCTGAGCAACGCAGCTAACCAACTAGTTAACTCGTTAGTTAGAGTTAGAGTCAACTAAGTTAACTCGCAAGTTGGCTGAATTAGCCCCACTAGTTAAATGCTAAACCCCCACATAAACTCATTCATTACAGGTACTGTTACCTCAGAAGTAAGGATATTGTGATCATAGTAAGCGCTTACGATTACAACTAAGTATGTCGTACCGCGCCCCGCCCAATCCAGCTGCAGCGTCAACTATGACTACATTTTTTGCTTGAAATCCAGCATCAATCAGCCGCACTGCAAACAACAGCCCGCCTATACCAGAGCCCGGGATCAAGAACTGTCGATAGGGAAGGAACAAGCTGCAAACAGTGTGCAGACCGATTCACAAGGCTCTAAGAACTATCTAGGCAGCACCCGCTTGATGGCAACTAGATAATCTGGGGATGGACGATATGAAACCTCTAGAAACATGCCTGACAGGTTGTATCGCGTATGTCACATCCCAGATTATATACCGCAGCATCACCCACTTCACACTGCATAGTAGCTCACACTCGGGCTATTGCTAGCACTTACTATGCTTAGACGCATACCTCCCCGAGGCTTACCATTCTTAGACACGAAATCCGAAAGTTGCACCGTAGCTCGAGGAGTTATGCGGCTACACATAAATTCCACAAATTGATGAAAACGCTCAACTATCACCTGTTCGGTGTCGTTGCCCGTAACCTGTCTTTTCCGGGTGAAAATATGAAAACAGTTGAGCTTCTCAGGCACAGATTTCAAGCCAGTGCAAATTGCCATATCCTGACGCCACGCCGTTGGCAACGCTAAAATCAGCAGAGAACGGATTCTGTTACGATTTTCGGGCGTGATATGCTGGGTTATAAGATGCGGTTCGGTGGTCTCCTGAATTGTCTGAGGCGCATAACGGACAGTGGCACTGAAATTCAGACGGAACCTGTTTTCGCCATAGAGAATGTCAAGACACTCCTCGCTTACTTGTTTGGAAAGAAGAAGGATATTGTTTCCGTGGCTTGAAATCTGTTGGTCAGAATGTTGCTGCGGGTAGCTAAATTGCGGCTTGCCGTCGGCTGTCGATGGTAGAATGACCAGACGCCTTCGAGGCAGACAGCAGTAGTATATTTCTCGACGTAGTTCGAGGGGAAGGTCTAGGAGACGGAAGTGAGAACTCTGTTTTGATCCCTCCATAGCTAAGCAGTAATAAGGTTGGTTTTGGCTAAAGTTTTCCTCTGATAGTGCTTAAAATATGCTGTGATATCATCAAAGTTACGTTTCTTTGTTAAGGGGGTCTGTAACGTTGGAATTGGGGGATAAATCACTTGGTAGTGAGTGCTTTTGTGGTTGGAGTCAGAGAAATAGCCGCGATGTGGGTCTTGAGAAAGTCTTAAAAGTGGATTCACCGCGGCAAGGAGCTATAAATAGTCACGTAGCTATTTCCCATATCGACAACAGCATATCCTTGAAACACACTTGTGTGAACATAAACGATTATATGATGCGCCGTGGAGAAGGAGAATGTGGCTATCGAATGAGTTGTGTTGGGTGTTAGAGGATAAAAAGGTAAGTATGCCCGAAAATATGCAGTCCAAGAAAGAAACAAAACAGAAACGACAATGTTGAAAGGGATTTAAATCAGTTATCATTAAAATGGTTGGAGTAGTCCAGCTGCTCAGTAATATGCTATGCATGTATGGCAAATCGCCCCCTCTGGAATATAAAATCGCCGTGGATATCGTCTCTGACAACCCGGTAACTATGGGTGAGATGTTGCCTCACAAGCTCCATAGTGACGTCCTTTCCGTTCTCGTCCACCTCCACGACGGTGTAAGATGTCAAATATTTCGCAAAACACTCCATCAAAAGGCCAAACCATTTGATCCAGCTTCTGACCTTTTCGTCAAAGGCTGGGTCAAAGGGTGAATTGGGAGATTGCACAGGCTGCTCAGCAATGATCTTCAACTGTCTTAGGCCGGGGAGCAAGGAAGACCAGAGCCCATCTGCAGGCATAGGTGGTGGTAGCCCATATGCGGGTCCCATATGTCGCACGATAACAACCACATCTCTGATTCTAGCTCTGTTTTCCGTAGTGATACGATTGGCAAGGAGACAGCGTTTCGAAGCGTTGAGGGTGATGTAGAATCTGTTTTTGCCGTATAGTATGTTCAGACACTCCTCACTTATCTGTTTTGAGACGCGGAGGAGAGCATTTTTGTTCTTGACATTTGACTTTTTTACTACTGGCTGCGGAAAGCTAGCGCGGGCCCTGAAATAGCGTATCTCCTCAAAATGGGTATGGTAAGGAATACAGTACGAATAGATCTCATGGCGAATTTCAAAGGGCAGATCGAGAAAACGAAAAGGGACATCCGCTTGCTTTGTTGAGCCGGGAGCTTCCATTATCACCACTATCGAAAGTCTGCTGCTCTCCAGAGGTATATAAGACTGAGAGATGATAATATGGACTTGCGGTGTAGAAGGTAAGGTAGAGGGGGTGAGACGTATATATACACCAAACCCCTGTCTTCACTCCAGTTTAGAATGAAATATCGCCAACTCATAGGGCTCTTTTATCGTGCATGGAGGCCATATATATGCATGATTATCTTGATTTGCTCGCAGATCGCATTGTGGGCATCGATCAGCTTGGGTGGGGATATCGATGGGGCACGGGTCAGGTATGCATCAAACGGGGTGTTGCAGTTGACTACTTCTCGGGTGAATAACTCACTAAGTAGATAGAGTAATTCTATTTTATCGAGCAAGAGCAACTAGTAACTAACAAGAGCAATCTTTCCCCAGGTCAGTTCCCCGCCATTAGACTTGCCCTCCAGTTCGTATATTCAGCTCCCAGCCAATGAATGCTTCATTGCCAATCCAACTGCGACGTTTGATGGTTATCATGTAGTTTAGTTGGGTAGTCATGTTCATCTCTGTTATTTCTGTCTCCGTGATGTACCTGCAAATCCCGGTCCCCAGCGGACGATAAGATGATAGTTGTCGGCTTAACGGCAGCTCCACAAGCCAGATGTCATGCGATGGCACGAGACACCCGACGGGCCTCACGAAGGCGGCCATGAAACCTGTTTCGAATAGGAGACCAAGGAGCGAGTGAAACCTTGCGATGCGGGGATTTCTTCTGTTTCTCGCTGTCCCGCCACTGCTATTCGCTGGATGCAGCGTGTCTCCCGCTTCATCTGGGCAGCAGTTGTGGGTAGCCGACCCGAGTGTGGTCTTGTGGCCCTATGGGCTTTGGAGCCTGCATCTCATTCAATATTTAGTTGCTCACTCGGACGTCTCGTAGGGTAACTAGAAGTTGCTAGTCAGTCGATGGTATGAGGGTTTCCTGAGCATGACCAGCAATATCAGTCCACCGGCGGATGTTGGTAGCTGCCAGCACCAATAGAGAATACCAACCCTCTCCTGTAGACCAAGCTAGAGAGCTCTGTAGCTGTACTAACTAGTCGGTCATGAGCGAGCAGCCTTTCTTCCGCTGCATACTTTTCCGACAGACGCAGGCCCCGCGAACTGGCTCGCTGACTCTGCCTCCAATAGCACAGCGCCCAAAGGATGAGGCGAGATAAAATGCCGCGGAAAACAAAGTTCAGCGGGCTTAGGCTGCTCCCGAGATAAGGGACGACGTCATCCCTGGCAGTAGCTAGATTACTCCGTGCATAGCCTGTCTGTCGTGGTTGTTGGGTATAGATAAAGTAGAATAGACATCAAGGTCATGGATTCACGATAGTTATAAAGTTATCAGCAAGTCGATGGAAGGAATTAGCCACAGATGAGCTTCAATCTAGTCAAGTTTTTAATGTGGTAGAGTCGGTCAATTTTTGACGCCTGAGTAAAGAAAGCCCCAGGCTTTATCAAATTGAAATGCAGAGCACACCAACACTATCCAGGCCACGACTTATTCACTAGCAACAATCAAACAGTTCCTAGCATCTACTCCAGCAACAACTTGTTTTACCGACAGTGTAACATTTGTATGGAGACTCCTTTACCTTGGAACCCGCTGTCTCGGCGTCAAGATCATAGCTATTGCTGAAGCCATGTGCTACAGTCTACGTCCGGATGTAACCCATCGAACCAAACATCGAGCTAGCTGGTCCATAAATAAAGCAAACAAACAAGTAATTCTCTAGTTTGATACTACAAAAGATGTCTACTTGAGGGCGCTCGCGAGCCTTAAATAGAGCAAACTTTCATTTCCATTTCATTTTTACAAGTTGATTAGACGTCGTGGTAGTAAGAAAGCAAAGCAGGCACTGACAAAGGAAAGGTGTTCACTACTACTAAGTTTCAAGTTATCGACAAAGGAAAATAGAACATTGGATTCCGAGACGTAAAGAGGAAACAAGCTTGTCAAATTTGATGTCCAGGCAATACATCTGGTATCCAAACTAGACATAGATCAAGATGACGGGAAATTTGATTGGCTGTATCTCTTGATGTGTGTTAGTAACCGGGCAGATTATAAAGTTAAGGTTGGGGCCGAGGTACCTTTTGTTTGGCTGGTTGGTTGGTGGGGTTGGTTGTCTAGAGTCTGGAACCGTGGATGACCTTGTAGTCGACGACGAGCTCGCGGCCACCGTCGTTGATGACGAGGGCACGGACGGAGCCACGGCCCTCGGCAAAGGCATCGGCGATGCGGTTGAAGAGGTTGCCCTGGTCGACGACACGGAGACCCTGCTTGACGTCACCGGTCTCGGTCATGGCGACGATGCGGTTGTCATCGCGCATGTCGAGGACACGGTAGGTCTTGTAGACGGGGCCGAGCATGCTCTGGACGACGACAGATGGAGATGGGTTGGAGATGAAGCTGGACTCCTCATGGAGCTGGCGGGTGAAGAGGTCGACACCGAGGTAACGGTGCTGGCCGGTCTGCTGGGAAACGGAGACACGGATAACCTGGCAAGGGCGGCCCTGGAGGATCAAAAGGTCGCCGATGCGGATGAAGTGGCAGGGGATGGTAATGGTGTCTGGTGGGTGTCCACCACGGGGCTGGACAACGCGGACGGTCTCACGAGGGGCACCTTGTTCGACGCGGCGCTCGTCAGAAATGATTCCATCTTCGTGGGTTTGGTGGTGGTGGTGATGGTGACGGTGATGGAATGGGTGCAGCACGCGCTCGGCAGCACGCTCGACTCCGCGGCGGAAGGAGTGGTACTGACCTTCGTCGTCGTAGTAACCCATTTTGGCTTGAGGGTCCTGCTCCTGAACTACGCGGTGATCGGAGATGAGGTTGAGGGTATCTGACTGCTTGGTCTGCTCCTGATAGTCGATGTCACGGACTTCGACTGGTGGGCGGGAGGTGTCGACGGTCTCGTAGGCCCGGCTGTAGGCAACGTCGACTTCTCGAACTTTCTCAGAGGGTCTCTCGACGGAGCTGAAGGTACGGCTGTTGCTGTACCCGACGTCTACGTCTCGAACTTGGCGGGGTTCAGGCTCGTACTGGGCTTGGTAGCGAGGATCAGTACGGGCACGGTATTGACGCTCAGTGATGTCAAGCTGGGTATCAAGTTCAGTCTCTCGACGGTCTCTGGTCTCGTAGTATCTAGGGTGTACTAGTTAGAGGTGGGAAATGGAGGGAAAAGCAAAGAAAAACGAGACTAACCTTTCCCGGGAAAGCTGAACTTCAGGGATGTGCTCCTGTTGGCGGTGACGGGGGTGCTCCTCGTGGGCTACGACAGTGGTTTGTCTGTAGTCGGTGACAGGACGGAACTCCTCGTTGTCGAAGCGCTGGTCAAAGGAAGCAGTGGCTTGCTGGGTAGAGGTTCTTGGTGCTGGGAGGGGGCCTTCGTATCGAGTATCTTCCCGTCCGACGCGCGAAGCACCTGAAAACTTGACCTCGCCCTCTACTCTCTCCTGAGTGGACTCAGAGACAGCGGCAGCAGCGTCACTCCGGTACGACGACGGGAAGACACTGAAGGGGATGGGGACGCGGGCGTCAAAGTCCAGATTGGCTGCTTGAGGGGCGTCCTTTCTCGAATGCCTTTCGAACTGGGTGACAATTCGAAAGGCTAGACAAGAAAAGACGGGAGTCTCTCAAGTCCTACAGCTACAACGGGGACGAAGGGGCACAGAGGGTGATGAGAACGAAGATAGACTGGCGTCCGTCCTGTTCTGGGAGATGGAAGAAGGTCAATTGAGATGGAATTGGTGGGTGAAGTCGAGGCTGGTGATGGAGAAGAAGAAGAGGAAGAGGAAGAAGAAGAAGGAAGAGAAAGTCGGAGGCTGGGAAGTTTTCGACTTCTTATTTGGCCTGCGGCAGAAAAGGAGGACCAAAGGCGGCCTGTATCTGTACGGTAAGAAAACAAGGCTTTTGTTTGTTTATTTTACGATGTCACGTCCAGAAGCGGCTAGCGCGGTTTCCCGGCCCAAGTCCCTGGTTACCGTACGGCGTATTTTACGTTACAAACGGTATTCTCAACTCTGGCTGCTGGTTTGACAGCCCCAAGTGAGAGACCTCGCAAAGTGAGAGAGGAAGCCGGTGAAAAGAAGGATACAGAGTGAGAGGGATGAACACTGAGGACAGAGTAGTGAAGACAAAAGGGCCGATGGAGAAGACGTCGTGGACCTTGGTGGTTGGTTGCCACCACACTGCCAGCTCATGCAAGCTCTCAGACCCAGCCTCCCCAGCTCTGGCTCGCTCCAGCTCCAGCTCCAGTTCCAGTTCCAACGTTGCGTGCTGCCTTCCCCAGCCATCGGCCTCGACTCGACCTCCATGCTCCATTGCTGCAGCGTCTCAATTTCCAGCCTTCAGAAGACGGCAACTCGGGCAGCGCATCACCCACATGTCAAAACCATGTCCAGCCCTCTTCGATCCTTCTTGTCGATTGACTTCTTTAGCTTGCTTTTCATGTTTCTGGTACAGGAGTACAGATTACAGCGTTACGGCGTCAATACGGTGGTGTTACGCGCGGCGCCTGCGAAGAAAACGTAAACAAGGGCCAGCTGATGACTAATCACGGGAAGGGGATGGGGACCTCGGCTTTTTTGCGCGGGTCTGTTTGGTTTGCTGCGGTTGCCCGGGCGACGGCGCCAGCCACCACCGGCCTCCGTTGCTGATGCTGTTTTTACCGCCAGCTTCGCTTGTTTGGTGCCGGCCATCCCCAGTAGTGTTACCATGGCAGCAGGATGGGATGGATGCGTGTGTGTCTCTGGCTGCTGTCAGAGGGATGATGCCTGCCGCCGCCGCCGCCGCTCTCTCCATGCTGGGCCCCATCGGATAACTACCCAGAGACCTGGAGACACCCCCACAGTCAACAGACACCACACCGTGAAGCACCAGCCAATTCCAATCCGCTCGATCAGAGGGTTAAACGATGCCGTTGCCCCGGCTCCTACTAGGCAACGGATCAGGTTGCTTGCTGCCGTCACCGCTGACGGGTTGAACGGGTACAGGTCCACCAGCAGCGTGCTCATTGCTGTAAAGGCACTACCGGTGCAGAAGCCCGTCACAAACTGCAGTATCAGTGGTCCAGCAAGCATCGCCTTCTGCTCAAGAGCCCAACCGTACCCGACCATCGTGGCCATGCCGGCGAATAGGAGTGGGAGCATGAGCGAAATCCGGGCCCGTTCGATGGGGAACTCCTTCAGGCTTTGGGCTCGTTTGCGGTCGACGGGCAGGCCAAGGCTTGTAGCGATACGCCGGAACTTCCAGTCTAGAAGGTGGCCAATGCTGAAGCTTGATGCTATCCCCCCAGCTGCGCTCGGCCTTTTAAAAAGATACGTTAGCAAACATATATAATAATAATACTTCTATCCCACAAGAGCCCCCACGACCCACGACTAGATTGACATACAAGTAGCAGAGCCCGACCTGGAACTCGTTGAAACCATATATCTCTTTGAAGAGGGATGGGACAGAAGCCAACATGATATAAAACGTCCCGTACAACACCGCGGTGACCCCCAGGATCAGTCCGATGTCCTTTTCCAGCGCCAATTTTGCACACTGCAGCGGGTTAGGAAAGCTCGATGCCCTCCTCTTGATCCCTTGGTCTGCCAGAGATGCCTCCCATTCCACCTTGCTCGGCTGGGCCTTTTTACCTTTCCATATATCCATCAGTGTGCGGCTCCACCACCACGGCGGTTGCACAGAGCCATCACCCACCACATTCCGGCATGTCTCGGGCACAAAAAGCACGTACGGCACCAGAAATACTCCGGCTCCAATCGCCAGAAACCAGAAGGTTGCTCGCCATCCAAGGTACTGCACCAGTACACCACCTAGTACCGGGCCTATTGCTGGACCAACCAAAGTTCCCGTCAACACCATGCCCACATACCTCCCTCTCTCGGAGACAGTTGCAATGTCTGCCATCACGCCCATCGTGATAGCAATGGTCGCGCTACTTCCTGCACTCTGCAGGCACCGGAGCACTAGCAGTGCTGGATAGCTGTTTTGCAGCGCTAGGCCAATGTTGGCTGCTAGATAAACTGCAAAAGTGGTAATGTATGCAGGCCTGCGCCCGCTTGTGTCCGCAAAGTCCCCAAAAAATGTGGGGGAGAGGGCCTGGAAGACCATGTAGGTGGTCAGTGTCAAGTTGATAAGGTTAGTCGAGACCTTCAGATCAGCTGAAATGGGCGTCAGGGCCGGTAAGTAAACTGTTGTCGACATAGGGGAGAATAAGGATGAAAATGTGGCCATCACCAATATGAAAATCTTGGTTCCTGGCTTGAAAGCCGAATAGATCGCTTCTTCCTCTCTTCCTCTTTCTCCTTGGATATGGCCACTTTCAACTTCTCCCATATCTTTGGCTCCACCGCTGGCATTGGCTGCGAGTACTCCATCCTGACAGATAACGCTTTCTGTTTCCTTCTCTGGCATGTTCACGTCCAGGTCCCCTTGAAGAGGTGGTATTTCACCCTTTCTTCAGAACCACAGCGGACCGTTATATTTATATATATAGATATATTGACTAGCCAGAGGTCTCTCAAAGATTCCATGCCCATGATTGAATGGCATATTCTTTGATACCCCACCCCGATCGGGCGAACCAAAGGGCGTTACCGACGGGTATTATTGCTATTTCCGCTAAACCCGATCTCGAGAAGCTGCAGATGAAACTAAAACAACAGGAAAAGCAAATGGCTCGGTGGCGATCTCTAGTATATGCATGTTTTAGCTAGGATGAAGCTGCATTTCCTTGGACTGCGAAAATGTAGTTCATAGCGGTCTATCGTATAACCGGGCTCCCGGCAAGTCACATGGGGGTTATGTCAACCGCCATAAAGCCACCCAAGGACCATCAGAAGTAAGTATGGGTATAAACAGTTCGAAGAGCAACTGGATCTATCAATTGAACGCATCAGCTGAAGAGGAGAATCGGCTTCGATAGAGCGTCTCAAGCAGCAAAGATGAAGCTGTAGTCAGAATTGCCGGATCGGGAAGCAAGCTATAGAATTCACATGTCCCGCTTCCTGGCTTCACCTCGGCCGCGATGTTCTTCTCGTGTTAGGTAGAAAACTGTCTTCCAGGGTAGGAGATAAAGAGCAGCTGTTAGATATTGGCTACCGCTGCATCAGCTTCATGAACTTCATGAGAACCATCCACTCACAGACAAAGAAGCAAACCTCACGATGGATGTCAGTCTCCCTCCGCAAGCGGCGGTGTACCTCCTGCTGGTATCCCTGCCAATCCTGGTCCTATGTGAGGTCAATTCAATATACATAGGCCACCTTCTGGCCAAACCAGTCTCTTCCCTCGCCTTTCTCTCGGGAGCCTTCCACTTAACCCTCAACGCACCCTCTCCCTACCGCAATTACATCACTTGGGGCCTCTTCTTCTCTCTCATCGGAGATTTCCTCTTAATACCCTCCCGAAGCGAGTACAGCATACACACAAAGCCCAAAAACCCAAACCAACCCAAGGCTGAGAAGGAAGTTTCTATATCGGCGTCATTCCAGGCTGGAATCGGTGCTTTCGCTGCAGCTCACGTAGCGTATATCCTTGCCTTTCTGGAAGATACGCAAAGCATATCGTGGTCTGTGTTCGCGAGTGTGGCGATGGCCTCGTTACTTGCTGCGAGATGGCTGGGGGTATTATACCCGAGGCCAGGAAGTGAGCTGGAGGCAAACGCCTCGCTGATGAGGTCAAATGTGTTGCGTCTGTCTGTGCCGGATGATATGCGGCATCTGGTGTGCTTGTATACGTTAATCATTAGCTGTATGGTTGCTTCTGCTGTTTCGACGGTACCGGTGCTGCGACTTCCGACTAGCATGTCGATGCAGAATCAAAGAAGTTTGGGGGCAGTGATGTTTGTGATTAGTGATTTATTTGTTGCAAAGGATGTGTTTAGCAAGAAATCGGGTGATAAGGGAGGGTATTTCTGGCTCCAGGCTTCTGTTGGGTGGGGGCTTTATTTCTGGGGGCAGATGGTTCTGGCTGGTACCGTGAATGGTGCATAGATGGATGGGTCTACTTGGTTTATTTATTAGAGGGCCGTGCTACTTGAATACGTATTGATTTTCGTATATAAGCTGGATTAAAAGTGGTACAAATATCGAGCGTTATTATCATTATTGACATGGCATTAAAAGGACAGAAGGAAAACAATCTATCTGCACGAAGATGGAATGTATGAGTGGGTGAAAGGGAAACAAAAGGAGTCATACTAAACAGTCAAAACATTATTATCGTGTGCTTTTTTAGGATTTCACTTGAAACATAAACCTGATGCCAATATTATGCAACGACATATCAAGAAGCAAAATAAATATTTATGGCAAATTTTAAGAAAATAGGAGGGGAATAGATGATCTGCGGACTAGAGAACGTAAGAAGTGAGATATTAGGTTGAAGGAGAGTTAAGTGATGTGTGATGAAAGAAAATATTGAACAGGGGATGTAAAATATAATAGAGAATGGCATCGAATAAACGTCGGTGGAAGTTGTTGTAGATATCTTGTTTCAGGAAATCCCAAAAACTTTCTTCAGCTTTGGAAACCTGCTCTTTTTCTCATGTCGGGGAATCTCATTCCGCAATGATGAAAGGTGCACCTCTGATACCGCTGATGCGGTCGAATTGTCATCTGTGCCACGCCTAGAAGGCCGAAACCGAGATGCCCAGAGAGATCTTTCAGCTCTAGCCGGACTCATTGGGCTGTTCGGTACAGAAGCTGTAGTTGTATGTTGTGTTGTATTCTGTGCTGCCACACTATCTGCTGTCCGAGGGCGAGTGTCTGAGTCCTTGCCGTTAGTGATTTCCTGCATTGGTAACACTGTTGGCCTTCTTCTCTCGGTCGTACTGGGTGACGATGGTAAAGAGAATGCAGTGTGCCCGTTTGAACGAAGAGGCCAGGAATCACCAGCAGACCGATGAATTAGTTTGCTCGCTCGTTTCTGCAGTTTGGGTGATAGTGGCTGCCAATCACTTCGCGAACGTTCCAATACGCGTCCATTGACAGTTGTAGTGATTGTGTAGTCTTCTTGTGGTAGGCCCGGGGAAGGAATGCTGGCTTGATCCAGCCCCAGCCTTGGTTGCTCGAGGGTTATATCAGGCTTTCGTAAGATTGACTCCCGACGTAGCTTATTGTTCTTCGGTAGGTGAAGACGCCCGAGCAAACCACTCCTGTGTTTGATATTAAACTCAGGAAGTTGCTCAGGGCCTGGTATGACGGAGATTGCAGCTGACTGCTCAATGTCTCTCGGAGCCATTAGCCTTGCTACAGCAGCAGCAACGGCGGGATCTTGAATAGCCCTTGAGTCACCCTTATTCGACTTTTTCCGTCTCAGAACATGTCGGGTAGCCTCGTCCTCAGAACTATCGTCAAGGTCGGTCGAGTCGCCTTCTGTTTCATTCCGTCTCCTGGGTATACCACGGACAGGCCTAAGTTTGATAGCCCCGCCTTCCTCATCGCTAGAGTCTTCATACCTTGATTTGAACGGCTGGTGCTTTGCTGATGATCCATTTGCCTTTGTAGATTTGCCTCGGCCCGTTAACACAGAAAATCTCGAAGTGGTGGTGCTTGGAGACTGACGCAACGTGGTTCGCATCATTGGGCGGCTATCGTTAGAGGAGAATGGTCGGTGGTTTAATGAATGGTCAATTGTCTTTGTAGGAGGCAGACCGCCATCCGATAGCACTTCCATACCGTGATCAGCACTGGTAGTTCTCATGGTTCGCCGTAAGGTATAGCGCCCAGTTGAACGGAATCGTTTGGGCCGTTTGAAACTGCTAGATGAGTCGCTTGCATTTGACATTGTCCGCTGGGGACGGACTGCCAGAGGGGCTTTCCCCTTTGCTTTGACAGATTTCTTTTCACTTGATCCATTGGATTCTAGGATCGGGCGAAGAGCGGGTGAGTGATGGTTGAATTGTCCAGAAGAGCCTATTCTTGGGCTTGGATAAGATGGGGCTGCGGGTGGGCTTGTCATCTTCTCTTCGAACAAGGGCCTCTCAGCTGTCTTAGCTGAATTGGCTGTAGATAACGCCTGGCGGCAACTCTCACGTTCCTCAGCGGTACCTTCCGGTTGATGTTGACGAGCAGGTTGCGACTGCGTTTCTGGAGTAGCATTGGCCACTGCATAAGCTTCGGCTGTACCGTTTGGTTCGTCTCGTTGACCGCTCTCTTGCGGTTGCGAATGCGTGACGCTGGGCTGCTGTGGCTCCGGCATGGATGGTACTGATCTATCGACTATCGCATCAATAGAACCAAACCCATCGCCCTCCATGTCCGAGAGATCTTCATAGGCATCACTATAGACACTATTCCCCGAATCAGAGTTAGAGTCATCATCTTCCTCCTTACGAGCCAGAGGCTTTTTATCATTTGCCGAGAAATACGAGTAAACTCCTTGCGTGTGTTCATTGTTGGGTATCTCAGAGGATGGCCTTTTAGAGTGCGTGACCTCTTCCATACCTGGTGTAGCGGGCTGGATGAATATCGCGGGAGTCGGCTTCAGGTGATTTTCCGCCTTTATTTGGCGAGGTTGTGAAGTTCCGTTGGCTTGGCTGGGTGTATCCTTTGACGCTGGGGTATCATCCTTCTTACTATCGAGATGTGCTGGGAGATACTGTAGCTCTGGCCCTTCATCGCTGGAAGTGTCGTCTGATAGTGAGCTGTAGCCGGTGCTCTCCAGTGATGTCACTTCAGGCGGCAGCTGTAGATTAGCGTTTGCATCATGTTTGCTCTGATCTCTCCCACCAGCAGTAGAAAGGATCCCACCGATTGCATGGTCGGCAGAGGAAGAAGATATTTCCAATGCTGGATTCGAGTCATCCTCAACATCCTGTGATCTCGATGGCTTGCGACCCCGAATGCTGCCGAATGACGGTAGGGCGGGTCGTGGAGTGAAGAACTGCTCAAAGTCGTTCGAATCGTCGTCGCCGAACTTTGATTGAATGATACTGTCGCTCCACGACCGAGGTGTATGTGCCCTTGGACTTTGAGATGTTAGAGATTCTGGAGAGGTAGGAGGACTGATGCCATGGCCGATGACTTCTGTCTCGTCCTCAAAGCTGACTTTGGGATGTCTCTTTTTTGAACCCGCCCTCGAGCCATCGTCGGAGACCAGGGAGGTCCCCTCGGAAGTCTCGCTGCCTGGTTGGCCTGGTTGATAGGTTGATCTCTCGGGACGAGCTCCCAGGGAAGGGCTGGGGGTTGATTTCAGGGCAGGTTTAGCTGGTGAAAGTGATCTTGGTGGAGGATTGTGTAGGTTGTTCTCCGAGTCTGGTATTTCCAGATGCTCGGAGAAGCGTGTGAGCCTGTTTGGACTGATGGAAGAAGGCCTGATGTGGAAGATATTTGGGGCAGGTAGCGCAGAAGCGTCCTGGGGCTGCGATTGTTGTTGTGGTTTCGCCCTGGGTTTGATATGTTGGACAGGCGGTGGTTCTTTCAGTCTGATTGTTTCCATCGGACGCTGCTTGGTGAAATCTAAGCTTTGATGGATTACATGTCGTTTTGTAGGCTGGTCATCCTCGGTTTCTTCCTGCAGTTCTAGGACTGTCGAAGGCCTCCTACCAAGGATTGGTGGTGGTGATGCATGACGTATTTCATCGTGGCTATCCGTTTGCGTTCCACCAGTAACGGTAGGTGAAGGTTTAGCAACGATATCGTTTACCACCGGCTTGTTGTCTGTCTGCTGTGTACCAGGCGGAGAAGTTGGCATTGGGTTAAAGGAGTCGTCTGCAACCTGTGTGGCTTGATCAACCAGCATTGGTCGAGACTCTGACAGCGGCGGTGGCTTGCCTGTAACCGGCTTATCCGTAGACTGTACCGATGCCTGTTCGGTAGACACCTTTTGCTGCTGGTGCTGGTGTAGTCTTGGAGAGCCTAGGCCATCCCTCCTGGGCGAATCTAGGGAAGCTATTGATAGCCGGGGCGAGTTCGGCCTGTTCATCGGATAGGAGAAATTAATGGAGTTCCTGCTACCACCCCTTTCAAGATCAGCCGGTCCCAGTGATAAATTAGACACTGACCGTGCCCTACGTCCAGCAATCGCCGCTGCTGACGACGCTCCATTGGCCGATGCAGTCCCCTGGACGCCCGGTAAGTCTGCATTTCTAGGTCTCTGCGGAGGAGAGGCTGCATAGCCACGCGGGAGGGGAGGAACCGGTATCATATCAGCCAGGTTCGATGTGGCACTGCCCCCCCGAGCCGGCGACTGCTCTCTGAATGTCCTTGCAGTCATGGACCCGGAACTGCGGACTCTCCGAAGTCCCCCATTCTTACCATCTGGGAGCGTATTTCCTGGAGGAACGCTGATAGACGAAGCAGACCGCTTCCTGCGCAGCATACGCTTGGTCTGGACATCTCTGACGGGTGTTGGAGGGGGGGTATGGCTTCGAAGGGCTGCTGCTGCGGCGGAGGAGGACAGGCTGGGATTTGGATTCTGGGACGCTCGAAACGCCTGGAGGGCAGCTGTTTGCGCAGAGGGCGATGGATTGGTATTTAGAGGCTATTCCGGTGTTAGCAGCCGCTCTATCTTCATCATAATGGCACTGATGCTGGGAGAGAAGTTGGCAGGTAAAGCCTGGATACTGACAGCATGACGGACGCTCCTCTTGCGACGGAACATAGCGAGACTGCTCAACACGGAGAATTCATCAAGAGAGGCAAAGACAGCAGGACAGGCCTCTTCCCTGTCCCAGAGAGATGACGATGGCCGCTTGATGCTCGGAGAATTCGCAGTGGCCGCGGTGATCTGGGTGGCCAGGTTGGAATCTGTAACAGGAGCGCAAAGGGCAGAGAGAGAGCTATCGATAGCTCGCTAGCTTCGCCCCAGACACTCTCGCTACGGACAGAGAACAGCAACACGCAGAAGTACAAAAACACAAGGAAGAAGAAGAAGAAGACGACGACGAAAGAAGCAGAAGCAGGCGGTTGGCTCTTAAGTGGGCGGCGGGTGGTGGCAGCGTGTGCCTGGCGGTGGTTTAGTTGGAGGGTTGAAACACGCAGGAAGAAAGTTGGATAGGCTTCTTTTTCCCGCCGCAGCCCCTTCGACTTGACTTCCTCTGCACCGAAAAAGAAACACCAGCAAACGGCGCATCCACGCCAGTTTCAGCTTGCAGCTTCAACGGCGACCAGACCACGAACAGGCGACAAAAAAAAAGAGACAACGAGCGGACGAACAAGAAACTCGGGCTGATCCATGGTACAGACCTGCGGGTAGAACCTGGTTGGTAGCTTTTCTAACCTCCGGCCTTGTGTGCTTTTCGCCCGTTTTTTGCTTGCACCACCATGCCACCCATGGCTCAGCTCAGGCATAGCAGGCCAGGATGCAGCAGGAGAACCAAGTCGCAGCGCAAGTGTGCTATCTGAGCGTGTAAATACGAAGAAAGCTGACTCGCAGGCCGGAACTTCGCCGATAGAATAATGATATATCTGAACGTGGAAGACAGTCGGACTACCGTGAAGACCTGATACCATCCCGCCGCAAATCCGCATTATCTACATATTCAAACAACACGCAGAGAGACGCAGCACGCAAAGAACAAGAGAGATAGAGAGAGATAGAGAGAGATAGAGAGAGATAGAGAGAGAGACACCCCGCAATGGCCGTCCAGCTTCCTCCGCTCCCGCTACCAGAAGGCGTGACCTCTAGACAGATCGACACGGCGCCGCGCGGAATATCATTCCATATACTCGAGGCAGGGTACTCGGCTGCACACGACCGGCCGCTGATACTGCTGCTGCACGGCTTCCCGGAGCTGGCGTACTCGTGGCGCAAGGTGATGCCGCTGCTGGCGTCCGGAGGGTACTATGTGGTTGCGCCGGACCAGCGAGGCTTCGGACGGACGACGGGCTGGGACACGCGAGACTATGACAACGTCGACCTGAGAGACTTTGCCGTGACGAACCTCGTTCGGGATATGGTGGTGCTGGTGCATGCGCTGGGGTATAAGAGCGTCGAGTGCATTGTTGGACACGACTTCGGGGCCGTGGTGGCCGGGTACAGCGCCCTTGCAAGACCCGACTTCTTCAAGCGCGTGGCTTTCATGAACCATCCGTTTGTTGGCGCGCGCGAGCTCTCGGGCGAGGTTGAAGGCGGCGGAGACGACGATCATATACACCGGGAGCTGGCTGCGTTGAACAGGAAACATTTCAAGTGGTACTACTCTACGCGGCAGGCGAACGGTGATATGGTCCGGCCGGCCCAGGGCTTGCATGAGTTTCTGCGCGGATACTTCTACCTCAAGAGTGCTAC